CAGGGTCCTGTCTCTGACAGTGGCCAGCATCAACTGCATCAGAGGAATGGAATAACCTGTCCTTAGGGGAGGTTACTTCCTAGCCCTTCTCGGTTCGAGGTTGACTTATGCTGTGACGCATGAGGATTTATATCAGGACCATCTAGATTCGGTGGTCTCAGAGAGCTATCCCAGAATCATGGTTAGAATGGTTTCCCAGCTACACAGAACTTTCATAAATCTAGTATTTAATGGGTCAATATTAAGAACATTTGCAATATATACTTTGTATAACTACCGTGTAAACTCGGCTAAGTCGACTGAGCTCCAAACGCTGGGGTACTTCTATTTTAATTCACAGAAAGATATCATTTCAGTCTTGGAGTGATGTGTTTACAGCCTGAGATATATTCCAACAAATTAAGATGCTCATCAATTCAGAGTTATATTCAATGTTAAACCCTATGGGGGTTCGAAGTTTAACTTCACAGTAAAAATGTGTGTCTAGAAAACCAAACAAAGTTTGAAATTTAATTTCAACTAACAAATTGGATTCCTTCAATTTCTTATGCAAAATATATCACATGCCACTTTCTATAGATTCCTGCTATCAGTTATACAACACTTAGGCAATACATGGAAAAATAAACTAATGTGGCCATTAGAAATAATAAACTAATAAGCTAATGTTGCCATTAGAAGATTTTGTTAAGAAGGTCAGTAATAAAGAATGCCTAGCGAACAATATATACCAGTGGCTTCACTGTATGCCATGCTGACTGATAGGAGAGGAAAGAGCTATGTGGGTAGCTAACGGGATTGGTAGGAAATATGGCAGAACATCAAACTGATATTCAGGTAACTATCTCTATGATTGTTCCCGAACAATCTGTTAAACGGATTTGCCTGGAAAGCACAGCCTTTATATACAACCGGCTGAGCTAGCCATAACACAGGAAATGCTACCAACCATCAGCTAAACGACCCCAAATCACAGAAATGCAGGAGTAATATATGCCAAGGTCTTTAAATACAGAAATCTTCCCCTCTCCAAAAGTTCATACACTGAAATTAACAGGTGAACTCAGTCATTCAGTGAACAATAAAAAGCGTACGGACATGTCTAATTAGCGGCGAAACATACTCAGAAAAAGAATTCCACCAAACCTCCAGTTTACTCCGAAAGATAGAAAGCACAGCCATGAGGAACAAAGATCTTTATATCAGCAACAAAATGAAGACAAATGCACCCAGATTTGGTGTCACATAGTGGCAGTAATGCAGCTGTGCTATAACATGTATCATACATGCTGTCATTATGTTTGCAGTCACATTTGTAACTACTATTCACTGATCTGGTGATCATGCACTGACCCTTCCCTGTGTTGAAATTTGAAAAGAAAGCAGTAGCTAAATGCATAAAGCAGTACGCTAGTATGTTTGCCTTCCTCTGTTCTACTGACAGTACTATCGATTTCTGTATTCATTTAAGAGTTGTGTTCCTTGTATTTTTATTTGTTGCTGCATTATTTTGAAAAATTAATAAGGAATCTTTTAACAAAAGAAAAACCGCGAGTGCAAACCAGTGCAGTGCTGTGCTTCTGAGTCTGCAGCCTGAAACAATAGCTCTTCTGGTTTGATTCCCAGCTGTTAGCTCAACAGTGATGATGGGGCTGGCTGAACAAAGACTCCCCCACTTTCTGTCTTGTACCAGTTTCACGGCTTCATTCTTCATTAAACCTTTTCGCTCTATGTCATTCTTCACCATGTCTATACTATGCATCCTTGGCTTTCCTCTATTTCTAGTTCCTTGCACTCTGATATGATCACCATGTATCGTATCCTTCCAGGTCCATTCTTGACACATGTCCAAACCATCACAGTCTTCTTGAAGCTTCAGAAACAGCAGTATTTCTTGCCCTTTTCTTACCTCTTCATTTTTATTTTCTGCAGTCTTGAATTCACAGTATTCCCCTCAGCTACTTCATCTCTGCAGTCAAAGTCTTTCGTTCATCAGCTTTCCTCATACTCCAACATTGCGACTTGTTCAGCCGTGTTGGCATGACAGCTGTATCATATAGGCTGATTTTCAGTTTTATCTAAATAGCTTTAGCCCTCCGGATCTGGCAGAGGTTTCTGAAGACAGTAGTGGCTAGTCCCATTCTTCTTTTGATGTCCTCTTCACAATACTAGTCCTCCAAGGTATGCACATTTTACCACCTATTCTAGTTCTTTGTCTCCGAGTTTGATCTTTACCTTTTCCTCTTGTCTCCCAGTTGCTTCCATTTTTGTCTTCCCATGCTGGTATTCAATCTGAATGCTTTCCCAGGGTACCTGGTGAGTCATTCTCTGTAAATCTGCCTTGGTCAATGCTGTGAGATCAATATTATCTGTGAATCTAAGGCTACACACTGTCCTACCACATAATATGACTCCTCCCATTTCATCTCTTTGTGCTACAGTCATTACTGCTTCCAGTACCAAGTTGAAAAAATCGGATGATAGCGCGCATCCTTGTCTCACTCCGATGGTCATCCTGAACCATTCCATCAACTTCTTGTCTACTTTCACTGCACTCATCAACTTGCTGTAGATGTTTTCTATCAGCTTGATCAGTTTTTCGGAGATGCCATACATTCTCGTAACTTGCCAGAAACCTTTCTGCCAAATGCTATCAAAAGCCTGTTTGAAGTCTATAAAGTAACAGGTGCATTTGTGTTCTATGGACTTCTCCAGGATCTGTCATATCACAAATAGCTGATCTATGGTACTTGGTTCTAGTCTAATACCTCTGCCAGTGCTGCTTCCACGTACCTTTTCCTTCTCCTCTACAACAGCTTGGTGAATGCTTTTCTGGCACACTCAATAAGCCGATTCCTCGGTAGTTCTTGCACTTACTCGTGTATCCTTGTTTATAGGTTGGTACTATTATTACTTTTCCCCATTCACACGGCACTTGCTCTTCTCTGTAAATCCCGTTGAACAGCTTGTGCATTCCCTTGACCTTGTATTCCTGCTTGCAGCAGCTCTGGGGTTACACTGTCACTTCCCAGTGCCTTTTTCTTATTCAAACTTTCTCCTGAGATCTTTACTACTTCTTCTAAGAATTCCGACATCTGCTCTCCCTCATTCATGCTGGGAAGCTTCTCCAGCATTGCATTGTAGAACTCTGCAAAATATTCTGTCCCTCGCCCATTCATTGCTTGTTCATCCTCAGTTGTTTGTTTTGTCTTTCACCACTGACATCTTCAACTCCTAGGTCCCACTCAGTTCTTTTATCTTATGCTACAACCCATGTCACATTTCTTTTGACATATTCTTCTACACCTTTACAGTGTGTGTTTATCCAGTCATTCCTGTCTCTCTTTGCTTTTTGTTTTCACTCTCTGCCACTCTATTGTACTCGGCTCTTAGACTTTTGTCCTCCTTTTTATTTCAGTTTCCTGTGCTTGTCACTTGGCTGCAACACTTCATCTGTTATCCACCTCGCTTGCTTTGGTTTGGCCTTGTACCCAACACTTGTTCAGCTGTTCTCGTAACCCCATTTTTTTACACTGTTCCACATCTCTTCCATGTCCATTTCTTCTTTCACCAGAGATGTGGTATTTTTATGCCAAGCTTCGTTGTATTCTTTCCTGATATCTGGTTCTTTCAATTTGTTCATGTCATAGAGCTCAACTCTTGGCACTTTTGCTTTCAGCCTCAATCTCATTGATGCCGGCACTAACTTCTGTTCTGATCTGATATCAGCTGCAAACAATCTGCACAACAACACACTTGATTTCCGTCTGTGACTCCCAAGTACAAAGTCTGTCATGTTCTCCGTTTGCCCATCAGCTGATATCTATGTCCAATTCCTCAAAGGCTTTCTTTTTTTAAATGGCATCTTCGTTATAGCAGGTTGTTGGTTAAGCAGAAATTTAGTAGCTTCGCTCCTCTTTCACTTTTGAAAAAATATCTCTGAGAGGTGTGAACTGACCACTTTTCAGCTCAGTTGCATGTTAACTCTGAAACTTAAAGATGACAATGACAGTGTCATCATTATCTGTTTCTTTGTTGACCATTTTAGCAGAAACAGACACCTAATTTCCTTATCCCACAACCCCACAATAAATAACACAGAGGCTGCTATGCTGGTTGCATTGTTCATTGTAATATTTCATTTAATAAAAACTTCTATTAAATAACTTTTTAAAAATTTAGCTGAAGCTGCTGCAGAATATATAAAATTTCTACGCTAGAATCCAGGGGGCTTGCCACAGAATTTAGATCCAGCTCCCTGCAGGGTACAGCAGAGTCTTGTTCAATCTTATTTAATGTAACTGTTAATGTCCTAATTATTCCCAGAAGCAATGATCCTTTTTTGAAGCGTTCTAAACTCATGGCCACAAAGATATCTTGTGGCAGTGAGTTCCATAGGTTGATTGAATGTTGTGTTGGAAAAGCATTTCTGTTTATCAGTTTTAAATATGCTGCGTGTCAAGTTATTTGAATAGCTCCTTGCTCTGTATTTTGAGATAGGGTAAACAGGAGCTCCTGATTTACCTTCTTTGTGTGATTTATTATTTGGTATCATTATTATTTATTATTTCTTTTCTAATCATGTCCTTTTTATACAACTCCTCTTTAAAGGACACAGTCCACATCTTTTCAGTCTCTCCTCATACAATAGCCTTTCCCAGCCTCTAACCAGTTTCACCATCCATTTCAGAACCCCTTCTATTTCTGTTGGATCATTGTTTGAGATGGGGTGACCAGAACTGAATATAATATTCCCAATGCGTGTGTCCCATTGGTTTGTTTAAGGGCATTATAATATTATTTTCTCTCATTCTTTAAACATCCTAACTTTTTTTTTAATTTCCTCTGCCACTGTGCTGCCCGTTCCTCTCGCGCAGTCAGCACTGTTCATCATAGCCCCAGTCTAGGCCTCTTCTGTACTGAAATATCCGGGGGATCCCTTCCCAGCGTGTCACTGACTGAACAAATAACCCTCTGTGCTCTCCCCTTCCCCATTGCAGCCATGGTGGAGCTGGATGGCGATGACATCAGAATCTCGTCCCGAGGGAAGATCGCTGAGCGAGACATTGTCCAGGTAAAAGCAACATGTTCCTAGCTCAGCACTTTCCTTCCCCTTCATTTCATTTAGTTCATGTCAGAAACCATCCCGGAACCTTCCATGCCTCCCCAGCGTGCCCAGGGTTCAGGCAGGCTCAGGTTTTCCACTCCAAGAGCAGGCCTGTCCTAGGGCAGCGGGAGTTTGTTGAACCATGACAGTGTTTGAGATCAGACAAGTGGCCGCAGCACATCTGAGGATCTGGCACACTTAACACAGCCTGCCTTGGCCTTCGATAATATGAGATGAATGGGGAAGGATTTCAGTGGAGACTCTGGAGAAGGGTAGAACAATTATCAAGCACCAAAAAAACACCATGTTTCAGCTACCTATCGGCTTGGATAGGGAAAAACCCCTAGACCCTCATTTCCATACCAGGTCTCAGTGTGCTTCTCTAATCTGTACATGCTAGAACTAACGCTTCCTGGCTCCCCCTTCTCAGAATCTTTCCTTTCCAAAACCATCAAATCCACTCATCCAGTGTGGCTGTAACTTCACACCACACTGTAGCCATCAACCCACTACAGTTCCATAGGACAGATGCAAAGCAGGCTGGCTAGTGGAAACATAGGACAGCCCTAAGAAGGCCAGGTAGGACATCTGGCCCCCCCACATCCGATGTGTTGCTGACGGTCTGCATAGCAGCAGTGTCCCCCATCTCCATTTGAAAATCTCTCCGCTCTTCGTATGTCTGACACGCTTTCCTTCTCTCCCAGTTTGTTCCATTCCGGGATTACATCGACCGCACCGGGAACCACGTCCTGAGCATGGCCCGCTTGGCCAAAGATGTCCTGGCTGAGATCCCGGACCAGTTCATTTCCTACATGAAGGGACGTGGCATCAAGCCAAACCCAGCGCCCCCTGCATACACCCCAACCAGCCCCACCCTTCAGACGCAGATCTGACGAGCAGGAGGGAAGAGGAGCGAGGGAAAAACCCAAGGCCTCTTGTGTCCACTGTTTACTCTCTCTCTAGCTGGATACCAAGGCAGTCAGAGCTTCCAGTGAGATTCCTCCATGGACTGTTTCTCCACACTTGGCTATAGGCAGATAGACGGTGAAGCTGTTGAGTTCCGACACTGCTCATCCTCATGTGTCAGTGGAAAGATTTGTGGGACTCAGACACAAAGGACGTGCGGGGTGGGGTGGGGGGAGTTTTTAAAAGGACAAGCCCAGCAACTGACAAGCTTCTTCTCTGGGAGGGGGATGGAGGGGAAAGGAGGGAGATGTGAGCTGTCACCCCCACCAGACAGTGGAGTGGAGTCCCACGTCACCTGTTTTTCTTTGGGTTCTCGGCAGATCAGCTGTTCCACCAAGTCCCCCAGCCTCTTTCTACTCCTCCCCTTTCCAAACGAGTCTGAGTATTTTATAGCCCATGTACAGTCCACCTGCTGTCTCCAGTCTGCTGAAATTTCTCCTCATCTCCTTGCTGTTCGCTGGCTTGGCTTATATATCAGCTTGGCAGACTTTTGGTTGGCTTCAGACATCAGGTATCTGTGTTGTTTTCTCTGCTGTTGTTCTGGCTGCACCGTTGTTCTGAGTTACTAATGCTCCATCTCCTATCAATCCGATTTGGCAAAGATCCACACGGCTTTTTTTTGGCTTTTGCCTATAACCGCATCATGCTTTTTAAGCCCTGTGTTTGATCTGTGCAGAGAGCCCTTCCCGTACCGTTCTGGACCTTTTAACATTGAAGGCACATTGTCGTGTGTCATGGAGCTGCTCTGACTACGAGGGGAGGACGTATTAGTTTGACCTTTAGTACATATGCATTTTGTGGCTGCTCCCGGCACCAAAATTAAAGCTGAACCTCATCACCCGTGGTCGACTCACAAGCTATACGTGCATTAACGCCTGGAGAATTCTGCTCCTGGGGCTAAGTGAAAGCGTGTCCCTTTGCTGTAACTCCCAGGGTGACAGGGTGACACTTTGGTAGGGTTTGAACGTCCCTCCTTCTTTTGCTACTTTTTATAATGAGGGCTGCAGGACTGTTGGCCGCTACAAAAAGCTCTAACAAGGCTAGGGAACAAAGTAGGTGAATGTAGCTCTAAAACATCAGCGAGCTTGTCTCAGCCGGTTCCTAGACATTCTGCTGCCCTTGGTGCCCTTCAGTGGGGCTGCCTTTTTAAAAAACAAGTTTGGTTCCATGTTTCTGGCTCCCTGGTGAGACCAGGGCTGACACACACACCCCGTGTCTAATGGAAATGGGGTGGCTAGGAGACCTCTATATAATCAAACTCCAAGGATATCCTCATTCTCCAGCTACATTCCTTGTGTAACAGTAGCCGGGTAACTGGCTAGGTAATTACCATGTGTGACTGCCCTGTGGATTCCCCTCCCTCCCCAGGGTTAGCAATGGCCCAGTGAGTGATTAACAGAATGGAGCCCTAAGTGCTTTGTGTATTTTAGGAGATTCCTGCCGTGAGACACAGATTCCACAATACAAACTCCCAAGAGGACTAGGGGGGAAATGGAGCCCTAATTAAAGGTAGATGCAACCCAGCAACTCAGTGTTAGCGCTCAGGGTCCAGCAGCCCCATCACACTGCTCTCCTCTGCATGAGAGGTAGAACAAGGACAGGATCCAATCCAGGCTTATAGCTGCATAGCACTGGAGTGGGAGGAGACATGAGGAGCCAGTCACCTATCCCAGTGGGCACGTCACCAGGAGCAGGTAGGCCCAGCTCCCCAAAGGGAGTCGAGTGTCACAGCCCCTAGACAGTCACAGGAACCCCCTGCCATCCGCAATGCCTGGCTCAGGTGCCCTGGCTCCTATACAATGAATGGGGAGAGATCTGGGCTTAGACTGGGACCCACAAAGCCAGCACTCTGGGCAGGGAGCCGCCTGAGCTAGCCGGCAGGAGAAGCTGAGGAGAGGGGCGGGTGCTAAGCCCCTGGAGTTTGGTGTCTAAGTCCGGGCTGCAGGGAGCCGCCTGTCTCTGCTTGTGAGTCACCAACCAGGGCAAGGCAGGTGTTCAGCTGCCTAAGGCTAGGTCTACACTACCCGCCTGAATCGGCGAGTAGAAATCGACCTCTCGGGGATCGATTTATCGCGTCCCATCGGGACGCGACAATCAATCCCCGAATCGACGCTCTTACTCCATCAGCGAAGGTGGGAGTAAGAGCCGTCGACGGGAAGCCGCGGAGGTCGATTTTGCCACCATCCTTACAGCGGGGTAAGTCGGCTGCGATACGTCGAATTCAGCTACGCTATTCGCGTAGCTGAATTTGCGTATCTTAAATCGACCCCCCCCTGTAGTGAAGACGTAGCCTTAGTCACGTGCGGGGCTGATCTGCTAGGGGAGCTTAGCAGCTGTCTAACTGCACACAAGACCTGGGAGGGGGAAGAAGAGGGGACTCTCAGAACCTTCAGCCTATTGGGCGGGGTTCTGACCCAGGATGGGAGAGCCCCCCTGGTTCATGTTCCTCCCCCACGGCCTGATGAGGAGAAGGGTGATGACCTGGCATTGCTCAGTCACCTCCAGAATTCAGCGTGGGGTTTTGGGGTGAATGGGAAAAGGCTGAGGCCAGCGAGTGGCTCTGTTGCTTTGGGAGTGCCAGGCCTCCTCGGAGTTGCTTGCCTGATGGCGGGGATCTTTGACCATGAACTTACTGAGCTCCGGGGGTGTGGGGAGGTCATGACCATGTGACCTACCCACAACCCCCTTTGCATCGGCAGCATGCAATGCTCCTTTGTGCAAGTGCCACTCAAATGAAGAAGCCCCAAAGAGCAGTCAGAGGGGGCGAGTGTGCCACTGCTGCCCAGCACTGCATGAGTGGGGCGAGCAGGCAGTGCTTGGCCGGCGGCTCTGTACTCGTTTCTGTCCATGTGTTGCTAGCGGGTGCCATAGACCCTGCAGTGCCATGCCCCGTTCTGTACAAGTGTAGCTATTGGGTGATGCATGCCAGTGCAGTCCTGTGCCCAGTTCTGTAATGTGCTGCATGGCCGAGCTGTCCTCCCACCCTGCTCTGTGTTGGTGTGGATAGCAGATGGTGCACAGGAGGCGTGGACATGGGGCTGTGAAATCACACCTGTCAGATCAGGCACAAGCCCTATGCCCATGAGGGCAGTTAGCCCGTGCTGCTGAAGGAACACGAGTCTTCCAAGATGGGGTGTGTACGTTTCCACGGGAAGGGGGCCACTGTACAGTCTCTCCTCCAATCCAACTCTTCTTTACAAGCTACAGGAGGTGTCTCCAAGGTCTGAGAATTCGCAACTGCCCAGCATGTTACTGGGGAAGTTTGGCTCCTTTCTCTCTTTCTCTTTCTCTTTCTCCTCCCTCCCACTCACTTGATTTTTTATTTGCATGGGTGGTGATCTTTCTAGACTGTACACTATTGTATTTTGTGTCGAATGTCTGATGTGAGCTGATTTGTATTGGATTGCCTTAAACTAAAATAAACTATGCTTTTTACTACAGCAATGAGCTTGCTCTGATTTCCTGCCCTCCGAGGGCCCCAGAAAGGTCACAGCACCATAAAATGGTGTCTCCATCACAGGAGATCTGACGAGCAGAAAGACAGAACTCAGGTCACCTCTGCACGCGCTGGTGGTACGGAGCTGGGCCTTACAGAAAATGATTCGCTTGGGGAGTTACCTGCAGGGGTGGGTTTGAAGGACCATTTGCTTTTGCTCTGGCTCCTGCTTGCTCACTCTTTTAGGCTGACTCCCTTGTCTCCATTCTGGTTATCGTTTCAGCACCGTGAAGAGATGGGAGGCATTGCCTCCCCAGCTCCAGTTTGGCAACTGCTCTCAGGTTCCCCTTTGCCCCTGCGGCAGCCTTCGGCTAGAGCCGCATTGTCTCCAAGGTGCCAGGACCATGACAACATGATATTCCCCCGGGTCCTTTCCTCTCCCACCTACTCCTGCCCTTTGGGCCGAAAGTCTAGAAACCCTGGACTCTCCCCTGGTGCTGCTGTTTGCACCCAGCTGGAAACCCCAGCACCAGATGGGAAACTGGCTTGAGGCAGGAGCCCTTTGGCTTCAGCAGCCGTCCCTGAACAAATCTGCTGTTAACCCCCACCATTCTCTGTCTCCTGCTGGGGTGGGACTGGCAGGCTCAGGGTATCAGAGGTGGCAGCCTTCTCTTGCTGATTGGGCTGGATTCAGTCAGCCCGGGAGTGATTACAGCGGAGGGCCCTTCTCACAGCGTTAGAGTGTACCCTACACGGAGCACCATCAAACAGTTACAACCCGTACTCGATGGGGACCCCATCCAGCAAGAAATCTTTCCTGAACCCCCACTTCTGGCCTTCAAACAACCCCCAACCTCTCCAAACTCTTCACCAGAAGCAGGTTCCCCACAGACGAGCACCCACCAACTCAAAGCAGCCCCAGACCCTGCCAGAACAGCAGCTACAAAACCTGCAAACCTGCTTCACCCCCCCACAACACACCTTGCAAGCTCCATGGGTCCTATATGTGCCTATCACAACATGAGTCCAGTCCTGCCATGAGTGCAGGGGACTGGACGAGATAACCGCGCGAGGTCCCTTCCAGCCCTATGATTCTATGTGGTGTACCTCATCCAGTGCACTAAATGCCTCAGCAACAACTGTGCGGGTGAAACTACACAATCACTCCACTCTTGGATGAACTCGCACAGGAAAATGATAAAAGACAAAAACACCCTATTACCTGGGGGCAAACACTTTTCACAAAGCCATCACTCTGTATCTGACCTCTCGGAAACCTGCACAGCACCGTCACTGGATGTAGGGCTTGTTACAACAATCTGTAACCCACTAACCCCCTCACTAACCTATGACTGCAGAGGTGTTAATAGGCCACTCTGCCTTGAATGGCCCCTTACAACATTGGGTCTCAACCAGAGGTGCATGTACCCCTAGGGGTACGCAGAGGTCTTCCAGGGGCACATCAACTCATCTAGATATTTGCCGAGTTTT